TCCAGATGACCTGACTGAAAAATGTTGGATTGTTCACTTCCTTGTTCAACTTTGTCCAGAAAAACATTCATTTCCAAACTAAAAACATTCACTCTTCAAATCCCTCCGTGACTGAGGACATCGGTATCATGTTGTGAGGGTTAATATAGAACCCACGTTCAGGCAGACTCAAGAGACTCAGTGGTAAAAATAAAGAACTAATTAATTAATAAGAAAACAAGAACAAAAGCTGTCAGGACTGCAACAACTTACATAAAGGGAGGAACGACAGGAAGAACAGAACATAACAGGCTCTCTAGCATAATCCCTGGACCAAGGAAACAACTCAGACACTAATGAGACATAATGACAAACACCTGGGGTGATTAGAATGTGAGACAGGTGAGACATGAGCTGACAACAAGGAGGGAACACTGAGGAGTGCAGGAAACACAGGACAAAAACACTGATTCCCACAACCTGTGTACTGCTGTTTTTAATAGAACAGTAGCACAGATTTAATTTAATAATAATACTAATAATGATCCATCCATCCATTATCTTCCACTTATTACAAAGTCGAGTCACGGGGGCAGTAGTTTGAGCAGGGAGGCCCAGACATCTCTTTCCAGAGCCACCTCTTCCAGCTCTTCTGGGGGGACCCCAAGGCGTTCCCAGGCCAACCGAGAGACATAGTGTCTCCCCAGCATGTCCTGGGTCTTCCCCGGGGTCTTCTCCCAGTTGGACATGCCTGAAGCACCCCCCCAGGGAGGCGCCCAGGGGGCATCCTTACCAGATGCCCGAACCACCTAATCTGGCTCCTCTTGACGTGGAGGAGCAGCGGTTCTACTCCGAGTCTCTCCTGATAACTGAACTTCTCACCCTATCTCTAAGGGAGAGTCCAGCTACCCTGCGGAGGAAACTCATTTCAACCGCCTGTATCCACAATCTCATTCTTTCAGTCACTACCCAGAGTTCATGACCATATGTGAGGGTAGGCACGTAGACCGACCGGTAAACAGAGAGCTTTGCCTTACAGCTCAGTTTTCTCTTCACCACAACGGACCGGCACAGAGTCCACAATACTGCAGATGCTGCACCAATCCGTCTGTAGATCTCTCGCTCCATTCTTCCCTCACTCGTGAACAAAACCCTGAGATACTTGAACTCCTCCACTTGAGGCAGAACCTCACCCTCGACCTGAAGAGAACAATCCACCCTTTTCCGGTTGAGGACTATGGCCTCAGATTTGGAGGTGCTGATTATCATCCCAGCTGCTTCACACTCGGCTGCGAAACGTTATAATAATAATAATAATAATAATAATAATAATAATAATAAAATAATTTAATAGCATAAACAGTAGCAGGAAGTTTTATACTTACATCAGTTGTTGGACTAAAAGTGGTCAGTTTGAAACCAGCACTGTTCTTATTGCATGTGTGACAAGTAATTCACACTTCTTATTAGACATGACTTCTCACCTTTTTCACTAAGCCTTAAATGAAGGGTCTTTAACCCGTCATAGCTCATAGATATTAAACTTAAGATAAATAAAAAAAATAACTGTCACCAGACATTTTGCTGCTCATGGTTTAAAAGTTTTTATTATTATTATTATTATTATAGCTTTCAACTTTTCACACAGCAACTTTTGTTTAAAGCTTAGTTGCGTCTTCCTTTATGACAAATGTGGAGTGAAGTTTTACTCCCCAGAAAAAAGCGGGAATCACCATGACAACAGTCTGGCTTTTTCGTACCTCAGTTTTTGTTTGTTTATTTGTTTTACTTCCCTAAAATTCCTAATAGTTTTGGATAAAACACATTTATGCTGGAGCTTTTAGCGTGGCTGCATTGACACTCTTCAAAATGTCTTTGTTGTTCTAGTTTGCATTTAACGTGTCTGCTTTAATGTAAGGCAGAGCTCCCTGAGGGGAGCGGGACTCCACATGTTCACACAGACAGGATTCTGATCATCACTATAGCTCAGAGTGGAGGGTTTTCAATCACTGCCATCTTTTCTTTGACTTTCACTGGAGCTGCAGCTGAAGTCCTGCTTTCACGTTAGTTTTTCTCGGCCACATCTCATTTCTCACTGTCCCTGTTAGGCAGATGGTTTGACTTGTCTCTCTGCTCCAAAGCTGCACACTTTTTATTACCACAGACACACTACTGCAGTTGAGCTCAGGTGCTGTGAAACAGCTCAGCCAACTGCAAGTCAGACAGCCTCTGATTTCCAAACGAGCATGAGCTAGCTGCTGTTTTTGTTAAAGAGGTTCAGTTCAGACCAGATGCTGAACTCTGTCTGTACCACTTGGCTTGCACTCGGATAGAGCTCTGTATATATGTATGAAAGGCCTAAATGTGCAATAAAACTGTTTCCCTTAACCACCGTCTGATGGTCTGGACCACCTTTATCCACAGACCTCCTATTGAAGTGATGGGATCTCACACAAACAGCAGAGCGCACATCTTGGGATCTAGCAGGAACCCAAAAGTCAGCTTCAGCTGCTGGCTGAATGTAGAGCCTCTTTTTGTGCTAAAACATTGATTGAACTGTTTATCAGGATCCTTCAAAAAAAAGTCAAATTTGTAGTGATTTTATTGATCAGAGTAGATTACAAATCACTCTGAGTTTGTTTAATATATATATATATATATATTTGATTGAACCTCATGTGGTCACTGTGAGCTAAAAATAGTCTGTGTCCATTATGTAACATTATTTGGAGTTTCTATGACTTTCTGTCTTTGCTCTGACACGGACTTTAACTTATGAAGAAAAATCACTAAGGATGCACCGATCCACATGTTTTTACTTCCAATCCGATCCCGATACCTAAACCTAAATATCAACTGATACAGATCCAGTTCCGATATCATCGTCATCGTTGATTTTATATGAGGCTGTAATAATCTCCTCTCAAGTACACTTTGTACAAATATATGCATGCATGTCCAAAAAGGCAACTTGAGGTAAGTTTTATTAATGTTGGATAAGTTTTAAAGTTAGAATTAAATTCTGCTAACACAAAACATGTTTTTTTTTTATTCCTAGCTTTAAAGTGGATATTAAAGTGATTAATTTAAGTGATTGTTTAAAGTTATTTTATATTTTTTTAAATAAGGGGCAGATATAAGATTTTTTTTCTTTCTGCACTCTTCTCATTCAATGTTTTCTTTTTGATTAATTTGTTTTGTTTCTTTTAAATGAATGAATAAATGAATTAAATAAAATAAAATGTTAAATGCCTTTAAACATCTGCTAAGTTCATGGCGTAAACCAACAGACATGTTCCTGTCTTTAGTTATTTACATCACTTTATAATGTAGCTGTTTATGTTTCTTTTTTTTAATATATATAATTTTCTTGTAATTTTCAAATCATATGTTTTTTATGATTGTTTACTGTTGTACTGATAAATATCTCCTAGAGGGTAAACTATATCTTGGCTGCAAGTATCAAGCTGAGAAATCCTTCGTTTTGCATCTGATAGCAGTTGGTCATTAATTATGAGGAAGTTTAGCAACTTCTCTGTAAACATGTGAGCTCTGTGGTTTCAGCGATGTCTTCTTCTTGTTCAATCCGAAGCAAGCAGCCTGATTTTGGTCAGCTGCGCTCAGTCTGTCCCTCCTCAGAGACGGGCAGATTGGAAGCGGCTGGCTGGGGTTGAGTTGCCTGTTTTGGGTTGAGCAAGAGTAGTGCCACGCAGAAGCCCCGGAGCTCGAATGTCCATCGTAAAACTAACTTTACCGCGGTTTAATGTGGCGCTGTGGCTCTGCAGACATTGCACGTTGCTGTCTTGTTTTGTGGTGTTTCTAGTGTAAAATACTTCCACACAGCGGACATGTTTCGATGAAAAGTTGGTTAGCTGTTAGCCACAGTGATGCTAACTCAGTCTTCATGTTGTAGCTGGCTGCAAACTATGAAATGGATTTCCTGAATGTGAGGCGGGTCTTATTACTCTGGGTTCATGAGACACGGCTCCGTTCCATTCCATAGTTTGAAGACAACATGCATCATGGATCGGAAAAATCCGTTACGTAAATTATGCTGGTATCGGAGGCCGATACTGGATCAGATCGGCCCCATCCCTAAAAATCACAAAACATCCATTCATCTATTATCTTTTACCCGCTTCTTCCATTTTTGGTCATGTGGTCGCCGGCACCCATGTCTGGCAATCACTATGTGAGGGGCGGGGTACACCCTAGACAGGTTGCAAGTCCATCACAGGAAAGAGGAAGTCAAATGTAAAAAAACAAAACAATCAAGGGAAAATAAATCTAATAAACTAAAAAAAGTGTAATAAATAAGTAAAATGCACAGATCAAGGCAAAAAATAGTAAACACACACACACACACACACACACACACACACACATATATATATATATATATATATATATATATATATATATATATATATATCACTATTTTTGCCTACAAAACTTTATTGCCATAAAGCCTAAATCTTTAACAGTTGCACAAAGTGTAGCTTTTTAAAATCAAACGCACATGGAGTTGTGAAATAACCTGCAGAAATAACAGTTTCTCCAGACCCTTTTTAAACGTCTACATTTTTCTTAATAGACAGGAAGTGATTCAGCCAGAAGACTTGGTGTGTTTTGAGTAATGGACATGACTCATTTTTCTGGACAGGAGGAACATGCCCTCCGCCTGCGCTGTTCCTTTCTCTCCTCCCACACCTCTAACCTGCCTGCTGAAAGCTTCAAATTCATCCTTTCTGGATTGAGTCCAGTCATTCTGGCCAATGCAGGAAATAACCGATGGGAGCCATAAATTACAGCATTTATCATGGAGATGAAGACTGCAGTGGACTTCTAATATTGATGATACAATAACTCTAACGTCTTGTATAGCCTTAAATATCATATGAACATGGTGTATAGTGATCTGTTCCTGGTCTGGTTAATCTCAGAGGATCTCACCTGTCAGCTGGTCCAAGATAACCCGTCTCCTTCACCCTAACCCAAGAGGTTTCTGTGTTTTGTGTCAGGACTCGTGGAGGAGTCCCCCCCCTGCATGCAGTAGTGCCTCGAGGAGCAGCACCCAGAGGAGCCCCTCCCAGCCGGGCACCTTCTTCCAGATCAAGAGGGGTTCAGAGAGCCCGAGGGGTCAGCTACAGGTCTGCACCTCCCATTGTCCAGGACACATACGGTGAATATGTAAGTATTCTGTAAATACAGACGTGTTCAACTTCTCATGAAGGATTCATTTAAAGCATGACGAGGTGAAAGAACTGAGTGCCATCGTTATGTTTCATGTTTAATTCTGTTTTACACAGAGGGAGTCTCTGACCTTACTGTGCAGCTTACACTGACACGTTTTATTTGATCACTGGTAATTTAACTGAACATTGTCTTAAAAACATCACAATGCAATTTACTTTTCATTATTGTCTGCTGCCAATGGCAAACAGTGATTTTTTTTTCTTGTGTCTGTGTAAGTGTTTTTCTGTAGCATTAACAAATTATCACATGGTGATGAGATTCAACAACATTTCTCAGAGTGTACTTCGAAAAGGTTAGGACATGGGCAACAAAACACTTTAAGTAAGTTGCAAGCGATAGGCTGGTGTCCCCCATCACTGAGGGATTTGAATTTTGAATATATAGTTTTCAAGATGAGTAAAAGTACAAGTAAACCTTAATGTTTTCAGTGCAAGATATTGACTCGGGTAGGTTGTACTTTATGTAAAAGAATAGAAGTAGTTTATTTTTTATTTGTTTGTTTTTTGGTCACAGAGTGACAGATCCTGGTAAGCAGAGGGAACAGTTTTATCTATGACCAGTTGCAATGGTGGAGCCAATGGTTTGCCAGTGGTGGACTTGGCCACCATAGATTAACCTTCAACCACCACAAGGGCCACTCCAAACCTTTGACACTTTGACTACATTTATAAGCAATCTAAAAACTGGAAAGCATTGTTTCCTCAAATGAAAGTGGTTGTAGGCAGCATGGTAACTCAGTTGGTAGAGCTGTTGCCTCTTAGTGAGAAGGTTGCCGGTTCAAATTCAGGCCTGGTGCCTTTCTGGGTGAAGTTTGCATGTTCTCTCCGTGCTGCGTGCGTTTTCCCTGGGTGCTCCGGTTTCCTCCCACAGACCAAAAACATGCATGTTAGGCTGATTGGTAACTCTAAATTGTCTCTAGGTGTGAGAGAGCGAATGTGTGCTTGTCTCTATGTGTCCCTGTGATGGACTGGAGACTTGTTCAGGGTGTCCCCCACCTCTTGCACAGTGGTAGCTAGACATTGGCATCAATGACCCCCCCATGATCCAGAAAGGAAGAAGAGGGAAAATATAATGGATAGAGGGATGGATGTTTATACATTATATACTTTGTATATTATTATTATTACTATAATTATTATTATTAGACCTTTATTTATACAGGTTAGTTCCCATTGAGCCTCGGAGACTCATTTACAAGAGAGTCCTGTTACATACAACATGCAGGCAGATAAGAAAAACAGAACACGAAAGTGGAGGAAACAAACAAACAAAAAATATCATGTCTCACACCAAGTCCTGGCTGGGGCACAGTGTAAGAGATGAAAAAAAAGACCTTGCAACATAAACAGCAACATACAATAACATCATAATACATTTCTGCATAGAGGTCAACAAATGCAGTGAGTTTTCCATAGACACTCCAGAAAGTTCCAAAGTTCTGATAAGATGGTACAGTGTCTTATCAGCTCCAGCAGGGAGGCCAAATTCAGATAAACAACAATTCTACCTTTTTCAGTCAGGTCATCTGGACAGTTTCTTTTTTTGTGCTGAAACGTTTCACCTTCGATCTAGAAGGCTTCATCAGTCAAGGAAACACAACAAAACTGATTCTTCCCCCAACAGCTAAACAGAAATGTTTCACCACAAAAAAAGAAACTGTCCAGATGACCTGACTGAAAAATGTTGGATTGTATACCTGGATTATTGAGCATGGACTTTGTTATAAACAACAATTGTTTTGGGCAGGCAGACTCTGAATTTTGTTTGCCTTCAGTTCTGTTGGTACACTCAATGGTGAATCCAAACAGCCAGATTTGAGGATATTCTGCCCGGTTCTGCTCGTTAGCTTTTTCCAAGGCTGAATCCTTCATGCTGGCGAGTTCCAGGAGCCACAAGTGGCCTACAATTCTCAGAAATCATGACCAGCTTGTGGTAGAGCTTGTTAAACATATGAGTCTGAGAGCTCAAGGCACAAATTAATCCTTCACACAAACTGCTGCTGATGTCTGCCTAATTTGTCGAAATCCCAGGTATCCGCTGATTCCAAAAAGCAGAAAATCTGTTATCATAAATACAATAATGTACACATCTTCTATGTCCTCAACGGACAGAACAGATAGGCACATCATCTTCCACTGCCCCCAGGAATCCATGACATACCCAGATACATGCGTCTGTTCAGGGCATGAGGGCTCTCCAGCACACTGTCGTCTGGTAGAAAAAAAATGATCAATTGTGTTGAGGGACCAGCTGAACAAATACATAATAATTTTTGATTCAGAAGATGTGTAAAGAGAGGCTCTGAGGAGGTTGACAGGACAAGAGAGCAAAAAAAGCAGGAGGGAGTGAGGGAGGGAGGGAGAGAGGGTGAGAGCGAACCTTTTCATCGAGAGCGAAAGAGAGAATGTATATATGCATATATATCTATATCTATATATCTATATATCTATATATATATATATATATATATATATAGATAGATAGATAGATAGATAGATAGATAGATAGATAGATAGATAGATAGATAGATAGATAGATAGATAGATAGATAGATAGATAGA